TGCTCTGACATACCTCATTTTATCCTCACAACCAACTCTGTGAAGTAGATGCTATTAGTATTACCATTTTACAGATGAGAACGAGGTTAAATGACTTGCCCAGATACTTAAAGCTATTAAGTATCTGGGGATGCTTATAACTACTATCTGAAGATTTGTTGTTTAGTTGTGTCCAACTCTTCGTGACCCTATTTGGGGTTTTCTTGGCAAAAATACTGAAGTGGTTTGCTATTTCTTTCTCTAGCCCATTTTACAGATAAGGAAACTAAGGCGAATAGTTAGGTATTACAGATGAGAAAACTGAGGGCAAATAGGACTTGCCCAGGGTCACACAGCTAGTGTCTGAGGCCAGATGAGTCTTCCTGACTGAGGCCCAGAACTCTATCCACTGCATTACCTAGGTGCCCCATCTTAAGTATCTGAGGATACTTAAAGCTAGTGCTTATCTGAGGCAGGATTTGAGCTCAGGTCTCCCTAACTCCAAAGTCTACACACTATCCCTGCATCACCTAGTTGACATGTAAAACAATCTATCTCTGAAGCTGTCTACCAGGCTGCACTTTGATCAGAGTTCTTTACCCAAAGATTCATTCTTCAATGAAGCATTTCACCACAATGAAGAGCAACAATGTCAGAGTCATTTTGTAGGAAGGGAGAGAGAGAATGTTTCAATAGTGGTTTACCCTGCTCCAAGATCTGGTCATGAAAGGTTATTTCATTTATGAATGACCAGGTCATTATACATGACTATTTATGTTATTTCATTTATTATGAATTTGGTCCAACAAAAAGCTAATTACTTCATATGAGAAGAGTTTAGAGCTGGTACGTATCATCCTAGTAAAATAAGACAGGTCCCCCTATATATATATATATATATATATATAGACATATATATATACACATACATCTATATCTATATCTATATATGTATATGTGTAAATATATATGTATATGTGTATATATATATGTATATGTATATATATATATAAGATTGACTTCCTGGTTTTAAGACACCTAGGGGAAATACATTTATTCTAGTAATCATTAGGACATGGACCAATTATTTCAAATAGATATCCAGAACCCTCAAAACATCTGAAGACTTTCCTCATTGAAGTCTCCAGGCTAAATATTCCCTGGTCTTCTCCACCAGATTCATCTTCGTCCACCAGCTAATGGTTACTAGTAGTGAGGATTCTTTGGAGTTGAGGATGTCAGTACTAGGGTTATTTTTCCAGGGCTAGAAGAGACCTTAGGGATCATCTGGTCTAACCTCCTTATTTAACAGACAACAAAACCAACTCAGGGAGGAAAAGTGTCTTGCCCAAGGTTATTTAGGGGTATGCTGGTAAATGTTTAACAATCAGCTCTCAAAAAAAAAAGAGAGAAATGTATTTATGTCATGCCTTCATGTTTATTCTGCATTATGCTGTCTCCGTCACTTTCCCAAATCTAGAAATCAACAAAACAACAAAACAAACCCCGATTTGTAGCATTTGCTGATTTCCAAGGTATATATAGGCTCATACTGAAAACGTAACAGTCCATCCAGCACATCTTTATCGCCTCAAGTAGGCAATGAAGGCTAAGAAGCAAATTTTGGCTCTATGGTGTCGCAGTGGATAGATGCTGGACACTGAGTCAAAAAGAACTGAGTTCAAATCCAGCCTCAGACACTTACTAGCTGTATGACCCCAGACAGTCCCTTAACCTCTACCTACCTCCATTTCCTCAACTGTGAGAGGGGGATGATTAGTAACAGCCACCTCCGACGGTTGCTGTTGAGGATGAAGAAGGTATCTGAACAGTGCCCTGCAAACCATAAAGTGAAATGCTAGCTATTATCATTTATTCTTGAAAAGCTTCCTAACGCTTTAAAGGTGTCCCAAAGCGGAATGGACTGCTGGATGACCATTTGTTGGGGACAGTTTAGAGATTTCTGTCCAGATACAGGTTCAGCTGGATGACCTCTGAGAGCCCCAATTCTGAGACTCTAGGCTCCACAGATCAAGCTTCTCCTCCAAACTCCCCTTTTCCTTGAACATCAGGGCTGACCATCAGGGCCCTTCTTTTTACCCTCAGGCCATTCTTACTAAACTCATACAACAATAACCAAGTTCAGACTTCACTTCACACTAATTATATTTTAGGCGGGCTGTCTCCTGACCTCCCCTGAGAAACTTTCTGGAAACACTCATATTCCCCTAAAGTGTGAGCTACTAAATATAAGGTGTCCTTTCTCCAACATGGGTATCCTCAAATCTCTTTCTCTAACTCACCACCTACATTTGGGGACCAAGAACCCATTTACTTTATCTGCTGACTTCCTCCTTTTAAGAATTCACTGCTTACTAGCTGTGTGACCCTGGGCAAGTCACTTAACCCCAACTGCCTAAGCAAAAAAAAAAAAAGAATTCACTGAAAATTCTGAAGTTAGAATCAGCCACGATCAATCCCACTAAAATAAAGACCTCTGAATAAAAGCCATTTCCAAGTCTCAGCCACACAGTTCGCTTGATTTATTTCAAGAAAGTTACACTGTAATTTCAGCCCAATCAAATAATGTGGATGATCATTTGGAATTTATTTTAACAGGATTTGTTCTACACAGCTAACTCGCTATGTTTGCTATTATGAGCCAGGGACAGAAATGATCTCCATCAGTTGTCCACACACTTTCATGAATTCTTTCTTGCAATCTCTTCACCGAACCTTCCAAGGGAGGGACCCAATGGTATCCAATGGGCTGCTTTACATTTGACTTCTCTGTCCCCAAATCCATGGATGGTGCCCCAAAGGTGGTAACAGGAAAACGAAAGAATCCAGGGTGCACAAACGGGATAATTAACCACTGAATGGGGTTTGAGGGAGGAGGGTATGGTGCAAAAATGCTAATAATTACCAAGATGAACAAACTAAGCTAAACAGCGACTTGAGTTCAGGCTTCGTCTCCCTGCTGGCATTGGGCATGGCCGCTTAAAAAGCCAAATTAGCTTTTTAGCAATGGCATAAAACGAAGGAGTTTTTGGCTTTTTTGCTGGTTATTCATTACCATGAACCACTGACTGAGCATTAAGTATATTGTGCTTGGCAAACCAACCCAATGATGAGACAAAATAAAAGACGGCACATTTTCTGCTGCTCCCTGACTGAACACTACGGATTCTATTCTTGGGTATCTTACAACCCTGTATAGTATTTTTACCTCTCCCCTGCTGTTTGCATTTAAGGTGCTTCTTTATCAGGGCTGTTTTAATCACGCCAATTAAATAGTACAGGCAGCTCATTTTATTGAAGCTTGTTTATTTAATCTTCATTGGGTTCTAATTAGCCTCTTTCAGTCACAGGGACTGACTCTCAACTGATAACTTCCCAGAAGGGATAGAGAAGACGCTGCCGGTACCATTTGTACAATCAGTGTGGCTTTTGGCGCGTGGCTCTTGCCTGTGTTTGAGTTAGCTGACTCCAAAAAAGCCCTTCCTCCTCCTCTTGTTCCTGTGGCTGAAGAACCACTCTGCTGGGAGAAAACATGCCTCTGACTTATAGAGGGCGATCAAAGCCCAGGAAGAGATCCTAGTAACAGGGTCCCCCCAGCCCCAGCCCCAGCCCCTGCCCCTGCCCCAGCCCCAGCCCCAGCACAACAAAAGGTCATGGCAGAATCATCCCTAGCCTGCCTCCTCTGTAGGACTATTGTGAGCACCAGAGCCCTGGGAGCGGCAAAGCACCGACATAAAGGCTGGTGGGTGGTGGTATTATTATCGGGCAGCTAGGTGGTAAAGACCTGGAATAAGGAAGACCCAGATTCAAAACCAGGCTAGGCACCAGCTGTGTAACCTTGGGTAAGTCATTTAACCTCTTTACCTCGGTTTACTTAACTGTAAGATGGGGATAAAAAGAACACCCATCTCCCAGGGTGGCTGTGAAGATCAAATGAGGTATGTATGTATTTATGTATATCCATATATGTGTATGTACACATGTGCGTGTGCAACACTTTGCAAACTTTAAAGTGTCACCTATTACTAAATGTTCACACCTGAAAAACAGACCTCACTGCAGGATTTTACAGCTGGAAAGGACCTTGGGGATCTAGTCCACCTACTCATTTTACAGATGAGTAGACTGAGGCTAAAAGAAATGAAGTGAGTTGTCCAAGGTCCCAGAGACAGCAGGTGACATGCAATCCCGATCCAAGCACATGGCAACGGCCGCCTTGTCCAAGGTCGTTGCTACAGAACGGGTCAGCCGTGATGTGTACCCTGGAAGCCCTCCTGTACTCAGTCTATATAGTCTGAAGCTATAGCTGAACAGTGTGGGCAATCCTTGGGCCTACCCAACACTATTTTAGGATACGGGATGGCCTCTACGTTAAATCCTCTTCCAGCTATGTCCTGTGAAAGATTGCCCAGAAACTCTGCCACAATCCCAAGCATGACTGCACAGTGACAAAAGAATTCACATTTTCTTTTACCCCTGCCTTAGCCCTACTATTTTTTTAAATAGTTTTCTGCAACAAGCAGGATGCTTGCTGGCTCACAAATCTGACTTACTATTAAAGACTAGGAATTCTTACATGGGATGCTCAAAAAAAAAAGTTCTATGATTTCATTTCTAATGCTCTCACATTGATTATGTAAATCCAAATGGCGCTTGACCTAATGGCACCACAGAGCACCAAAACGTTACATAAGCTCTTACAACAGGTTGTAAAGGAATGTTCTATTCTTGGGAGAATCAGTCAGCTAGCATTTATGAAGCACCCACTGTTTACCAGGCCCTGGGCCAAGAAATGGATAGAAGTAATGACCAATTCCACTTCGTCTGGCTTTCCTTTTGGGGGAATTATACACTCTCATTATCATTCAGGAAAAGGGACAACCAACAGGAAAGGACCCCTAAAGGAGTAACTGGGAACAAGAAGTAGCTGAAATGAAGACTGAAAAGTAAGTTTGGAACTGCAATAACAACCAAAGCATGACACCAAGAAAAGTCACGAATGTGGCACTGGAACACGGTAACGTGAACCAAACGAAACACTTTATTTTGGGAACAATTATCAGCATCCTGGGGCTGCTCCCTGAGGGCTCCGAGGTGAAATGTGCTGAAACCTCCAGGTTTCTGGAGAACCACAGAGTAAAGGGGTTTCTCAGGACAGTCTCCAGAGGAGGAGCACTCCCAAAGGCCTCCCAGCCTCCCTGGACCTCATCATGAGGAGCTCCTCATTCACCCTTCCTCCCTCATACTGCCCAGCCGGACTGTTTCTGCATACGCTCCTGGCCAACGGGAGTCGGCCCCCCCTTTAGGGCAGCTGCCCTGATTCCAATGCCCCAGGAGAAGAGGACAGGAGCAGCCGAGTGACCAGTGGTGCTGGTCTTCCCAGGGTCTTAAAGACCTTGTAAGTCACATAGCAGTGGGCTCAGTTTATTCAGAAGCAACATTTTAAACAATGTGAGTGATTTCAACAACTTTGCCATTCTGAGGAGCAAACACCAGTTTTGTCCTTAAACCGAATCACCGTAAAAAGTCTTGGCCATAGCGTGGGCTACTTTGATCACCTTCTTCTCCTTCGCACCAGGCCCCATGTTGTTCCGAGCGACCTTCACCCAATACTCTTCAGTCCGAGGCAAATAGTCACTGTATTTTTCATTAGGCTCAACCACTGGGTGCTGATCACCTTCTGACGATAAAACAGAGGGAGGAAGAAGAAAGAGGGCTGAGTTCATGACGAGCAGGGGGCAGGCACTCTGGCAAAAACAAGTCAAGGAGTGCTCCGGGGCTGCAGGGAGGGAGGGGGTGTTTAGGAGCAAAGAGGGGATGGTCTCTGCTACGCCCTCCGCTCTGGCCACACCATCCCTGCAGAAACTCTACGTCAGGAAGGATTTTGGTCATCGGCGGACTGTCCACAGGAAGGCATCTGTCACAATGGTGGAGATCAGTGGAGGGCAGTGGGTACTTTTGACCTATGAAATCTGGGGGGGGACATGACCCCTGTCTCCAGCTAACTGAAGGGCTGTGGCATGAAGAGGGGTCAAACGTGTTCTATTTGGCCCGAGGGGGCCGACACAGTGGGCAAAAGCTGCAGAGGCAAATTCAGAATCCATCTAAGGAAAAACTCAGGGGCAGCTAAGAGGCGCCATAGCGCACAGGGCACAGGGCCTGCAGTGAGGAAGACCCAAGTTCAAATGTGACCTCAGACACCTGTTAGCCGTATGACCCTGAGCAAGTAACTCAATCCTCCGTTAAGTGTTTGCCTCAGTTTCCTCACTGTAAAATGAGCTGGAGAAGGAAATGGCAAACCACTCCAGGATCTTTGGTAAATGGGGTCACAAAGAGTCAGACACGACTAAATGGTAGAGCCATCCAAAGGTAGCTACAAATTAGTGTCGTGGGGATGTGGTGGGCTTCCTCACACTGGGGATCCTTTAAGCAAAAATGGGGTGACTACTCGCTGAGTAAGTCTTGTTTCCGTAAGGGTCGATCTAGACTGACCTGGAAAGTCCCTTCTGCGCTCTGAGCGAGTCACTTCACAAAAGAAGACGTAAGAGGACTTTCTAAATAGCAAGTTCTCTCCTGGTGCACTTTAAGTGATTCTATGTTTTTTAAACCCCAATTTATGAAGAAAATATTTATGGCTCAAAAGCTACACTTTCGGTTAAAAAGAACAAGGTAACGATTAAAACCAAAAGACTGTCCTCCATCCTCATCTTTTTTTTTTTTTTTGATGCACCTGTTCCAGGTTGTGTACAAATTTCTCTTGCTTTGGTGAAGTTTCTCCTTAGGAAAGTCTAGAACAGGGGTGGGGAACCTGCGGCCTTAAGGCCCTGGTTCTCTAAGCCCCCTGGTCTACAAGGACTGGCCACACAAAGTGCCGATTGACTGGTTCAATTAACAAGCCTCCACACCCTGCTCTGCAGCGTTTCACTCTGCCAACAAACCTTCAGCTTGTCTCATCTTTAGGAGGCCCCACCAAACCCTCCCCCTCAACCCCAGAGGCTTAAAAGATGAATGAGCATGACCCCATACCTTCATCCTCTTCACTTTCTTCCTCTGTTTCCTCATCTTCTTCCTCCTCTCCCCCTTCGGCTCCTTCTACCTCATCTTCGTCTTCCGAGTCACTTTCCTCCAACCATTCTTGAGTTTCTTCAACAGTAAAATCAATCAATCAGTAAAACTAAGGCCCAGGTATATCAGGAGAGAACTCCAATACATACTCTCTCAATAATCCATTATTGAGGAAACACATGATTTGAAACCTAACCCTCCCCTCCCCCAGACCCTGCAAGGAGACAGTTCAGGGTCTGATTAAAGGAGAGGGAAGCATGGGAAGACTTAGCTGAACCATGAAAAAAGCCCAAGACAACACGCAAAGATCAGAAATGAACAGGTTTCAAAGAGCAAATTCACAGCTTGGATGGGAGGAGAAGATGCTGAGTCTGACAAGTGAAGCTTCTCTGCCAGAACCCCAACCCTGCCTGCTTCCTCTGACACGCCATACAGAACTCTGCTTTCAGCTACTGGGGAGGGAACAATGAGGAAGAAGGGAAACAAAACGAAGCACTCGGCACCACAGAAGAAGGGAAAAAAGGCAGCATTTTCTGAATAACAAATTCTGAGGACTCAGGCCACATGCAGGGCTCTAGACTGGTAGAGAAGGCAGGGCGATGATCCCTCAGAAGGTGGCAAAGAAGCTGCCTGGCACCCAAGGACAGAAAGTGTGAATCACCCAGAGCCAATCCTTCTACCCTTCCCCAGATACCCTCTATGGGGAACAATGATGCTAATATTAATTCGGTAGGGCTGGGAACTTGGTTTAATTTAATTTTTAAGGTTTCTTCTCCCCCTTTAATGCTCTTCCATTAATTTATATAGACTTTAAAGCTCAGAATCTTTTAATAGCACTAACTCTAGGGAAATGAAGTCTGAAAAAGTTGACTTGGCTGGTCAAAATTAAAGCAGCAGTTTAAGATTTTTTTTAAATGCACACTAGCACAATATCTATTCCACGGCTGGATACACCCCACAAATTCATGTTTTCCATGGTGTGAACAATGAGTGCTTTAGCCACCTGCCCAGTTCCAGTCTATCCATGGAAGGAGGAGGAAGGGATATCCTGGCCCACTTTCTGCTGGGGGCTCTGCTGCTAACTGAGATGTGCTCACCACATCAAGGTGGAGAACTTCTCTTCTAGCCTAACCCAAGCCAATAACAGAACCGTGTAGGGGGAAGAGTCACTAGAGCTTGGTGCAACGCTCAAACTGGGATTTTTAACTCCGTGTACTTTCCTCTCACCAACTCTCAGGTAGGGAGAGCAGATGGTCCCAGGTGGGCCATGTGAGCTGAGCTCCTTTGTTACAACACAGCTGACCAGAGTAGCTGCTGGGCTCCCTCTTCCCGTTCTTTCCTTCTCAACCTACAAGAGAGACAACTTTCCTTCCCTCTCCGGGGCCTCCCACTTGCACACTCTCATCTCGCCCTCTCTAACTGGATTTGCCTACTCCAAGCTTTGAGGACTCACTGCTTCCCCAAGTCTGCCTTCTCATCATCTGCTATGTTCAACTGCAATGACTTTTAAAAGTTTTCATTAAAAAAATCCTGTGCTTTAAGGGTCCCCTTTTAGTGTCACATTGCATTTTACACACAATATCAACATTTTCTCAAAATCTATCAGTTTCCCAAGATCTCGCCATTGCTTGTTGCTCCTGTAGGGCAAGGAAGGTATTTCCCATTCTGCAGCCTCTCATCTCTTTTTCGTTCTATAAAGCAGGAGATACCCTCCCTAGCACCAACCCTATTGATTTTTCGTCATTCTTTAGTCCTGAGTCTCAAAGAGGAGTAGTAAGCTACCTGAGTCCTGAACAATTTTCTTTCCTTTAGAAAAAAGTAAATGGAAATGAACACTGATGAATGAAGAATCAGAGGAAACACTTCAGAACTGACAATAAATAAGGCTAAAGAATTCAAAGTCAGAGGTACAAAAAGATTGCTAGAGGAGACTAATCTACACCAAGTTTAGTTCTTGTGCATGAACACAGCAAGTCTGACAACCTGAGGAACAAGGCAATGACTCACCTGTCAGCAGCGCCCCACAAGGCCACCACTCAAAAGATATGTAGACGAGTCAACAAGTCTGATCCGTGGTTAACAACAGTCCTGTGATATAACTAACCACAGCTGTCTGAAGACACCACGACATGGGAACTGCATTTTTTAAATATATATTTTGTTCTATCAGCCTGTCTGTCCCTAAAGCTCAGACTGTTGATGGATGAAGGAAAACGGAATAATGATGAAACCAGCCAAGCGAATTATGCTGGGGAATGAGTAAGAAGAAAGTGAGAACGGTTTGGATAAGAGCTCTCCCAAGGCCTTTGGGAACTCTGTTTCTCTGTCTGTCTGTCTGTCTCTGTCTCCTGTCAACCCCAACCCAAGCTTACTAGGATCCATGTCTACCAAGACCTTCCATTCCTCCATCTTGTGCAGATCAATGCAGTAGAAGTCATTGAGGGTGAACTGGCGGTCCCCAGCTTCAAACATGCCCCCATAGACGTAGAGCACCCCTTGCTTCACGGCCAGCATGGCATTCGAGCGAGCACAGGGCTCCACCAAAGGGCCACCGGCCTCATCAGAAGCTTCCTCCTCTTCAGACTCAGACACTGCTAACGTCCCAGCGACAGGGATCACTTGTTTAATAGTCATGACTGTCCCATCCTCGGCCACCACCTCTCTGATCTCCTCCTGCGGCTGCTGGGGGTGGCTTTCTTCCCTCTCCTGATTCTCGACACTCTCGGGCTCTGGTTTCTTGCCTCGCCTGCGTTTCCTCTTCTCTGTCTTAGGGCCCTGTTAATGAGAGGAAAGCACATGACTAGGACACAACAAGCTTTAATAATTGTATGTGAAGCGAACAATCTAAATGAGAGACACAAAGGTCAGAGTGACTTCACCCCTCCAGGCTCCTCCACTCAGGACACACTTTCACAGCCCGGCTGAAAACCTTCACACCCGCACGCTGGTGACCTACAGCAGGCAGATGGCACTGGACCAAGAGGAACTGACCCTCTCTCTTCAGCTGCCCGCATCCAGGCTGGGGAACGGGAGGCAGGAGAAACAAGCCTGCTTCACCACAGAATCAAGACTCGAGCAGTGAATGGGAACTTCAGGCCCTGACTGGGAAACCTTCCATACCTCCCGAGGCTGGAAAAGGAACACCACCAATTCAGAAGAAGTCACTGGCTCTCCAAGAAAGCCTGTCTTGAGTAAAAATCAAATTTGCTCCTAAGGGCCAACTCCGACGACGGGAGAGAGCCCACACTGAATCCCTCCCCACGCCACAAGGCTGACTGAACAATGCCCGTCAGAGAGCCCATGCAGTGGAGATAAATGGTCTGCCAGAGGAGTCAAAGCCCTCACTTCCAAAGGTTTTCCACATGAAAAACTATTTTTAGATTGTTTTCCTAAGGAAAGAAAGCTTCTCCAAATTACCCCATGTATTCAATCCTCTCTTCTCCTCCCACATGATGACTAGTGTTGCCCTGGTAACTTTACATGATAAATTTACTGCTTTCTCTAACTTTGTGTCAAATGTGGATTGAATCTGGGTTATTTCATTTCCTCCGCCTGTAATCGGTGTGACTTTGGACAAGCCGTTAAAGCCCTCTGAGCCTGTTTCCTCACCCCTCGATGGGAAAGGAACTGCCTTTTCCTTGTACTATAGGGGTTTAAGAATCTCCTAAGAAGGGATAGGACAGGACTTTGAAAAGGACTCTCTAAACGTGAAGCCCTCCTAGAACTGTCTAGAGCAAACCAGGCTTCTTCAGAGAATGGATGCCAGTCTCTCATCGGGACCTCTGTGACCAGGCAACTAGAAATACCTTCTACAAATCTTCATTTTAGCTAAAGTGGAAAAATCCTCATTTAAAACAGTCCAGCTGAAGAAGCCATTCTACTGGCTATGGCTCACCTGGGGGTACAGACCTTAAAGTGCAGAAATACACAAAAAGATGAGAAAGTGAGAGAGAACGCCTGGAGAAGGGAGAAAGGGGAAAGTGAGGTCACTACAACAGCTGAGTGGGGCACAGGGGCCATTCATAAAAAGCTCTGAAATCCCCATATAGTGATAGTGATAGCTTTCTAATAAACTCTTTAATTAAAAGAGGAGAAAAGTCAGGAACCACAACCAAAGAGCTCTAAATCTAAAAATGCTGTAAAGCATTTCCCTGGTGACTGCTTTCAATGGGAAAAATCCAGCATTATCTAGGTTTTCAAATTTCCCTCCATCTCAAGCACCAGGAAAGGTCTGGTCCAAGCAGATTTTCTCTTCTCCTTGCCTCAGCCCACTGCCCCTCTGGGCCACTGCCTCCACTCCAGGCTCGGCCCCCCACTACTCATCTGGGCCACCTCCCCCCGTTCCAGGCTCGGGCCCCTGCTGCTCTTTCCCCTGGCCCTTAATTTGTCTTGTCTCCTGTTCCCTCTCAGGGCTTGGTTCACAGAAGCTGTGAATGTTGTTCATGAGCAGTGATTAGTCAGTAACATGTTCTCCCTCCCCAGCCACAGACCTACATTTTTCAGAGGAAGTTTCCAGGACACTCAATACCTTAAACCAAAGGAATGAATGACTCGAGTTGAGTACTTCAGCTCAATGAGGGAAATATTTGTGGGCAAAAACCTTTTATTGCTATTAAAATGTCAACTGTGCCTAGAGTTCTGTCCTAAAATCAGAGGCCAAAGCTGATTATCTTCTCTTCCCTGCCCTAAGTTAACAACAACCCAGGTATAAATTCTGGCTGTTAACAACGATTTTAAAAGACTACGTGAACTGCAAAGTTTTCATAACCACATGAAAGGATGCTCCAAATCACTAATAACAAGAGAAATGCAAATCAAAACAACCTTAAGGTTTCACCTCACACCTTGCAAAGATGACAAGAAATGGCAACAGCTAGTGTTGGAGGGGCTGCAAGTCGCACACTCATCCACTGCTGGTGGAGCTGTGAAATGCACAACCATTTTGGAAAGCAACGTGGAAACATAAAATGTCTATGCCCTTTGAACCAGAGACTCCATCACTGGACCTATCTCCCAAGGAAGCCACTGCCAGGAAGAAAGTTCCTATCAACTCCGAAATATTTATAGCAACACTTTTTGGGATAGCAAAGAATTGGAAACAAAGTGGATGTCCATCAACTGGGAAATGGCTAAACAAATCTCAGTACAGGAATGGAGTGGAATATTCCTACATTATAAGAAATGATGCGTGTAATGACTACAGAGAAGCCTAGAAAGATCGACATGAACTGATGCAGCAGGGGGTCAGCAGAGCCAAGAATACAACACACGGTGACTGTGACATAAGTGGAAAGAAGTGTACACCAACAAATCAAAAGTAAATGTAACAAAATCATCAAGGTCAAGCAGGACTCTAAGAAGAGAGGAGAGGACGCTTTCTGTGGAGTGGGGAGGCCCAGGGGAGTGGGGGAAACCCAGGCATTACACAGGGTTTCAGGCTTCATCAACGCATCAATAGGCTGTGCGGACCTCTATCTCCTCTCTACAAAAACACTACTGGTTATATGGGCAGCTCTTGGGGAGGGCGAGAGGGGGAGCTACTGGGAACAACTACGATGGTGAAGAAAGAGAAAACATCAATAAATGCTTATCTTGAAAAAACACGTGTTTCTACGATGGGGGGGAGTTCCACTTTCCTCAGTGTAGGCCCGATGGTGTCTGAAGCATGAGGGCCCGGGCCTCCTTCAGGGGAAACCATGCTTCCTCTGTTAACAAAGTCTAACAATCAGGAACAGCCTCATTTCATGAGGCAGATAGGTGGCGCAGAGGATACAGAGCCGGACGGGGAGGCAGGCGGCCCAAGTTCAAATCTTGTCTCCCACAGTTACCAGCTGTATAACCCCGGACAAGGGTTAAACTGCCTACCTCAGTTTCTTCATCTGTAAAATGGAGATAATAAAGGCATCTCCCTCACAAGGTTGTTGTAAGATCAAATGAGGTAAAGTGTGAGACAGTAAACCCCACTGCCCACCCCAAACAGGTCAAGGCAAAGACACGAGAGGAGGAAACACAGACAAGAACGTATCTTTGTGCCAAAGGACACTGTGGTTACAATACATCTTAGCGTGGGGGGGAGGGATTCATGGAGGTACCTTCAGCTGTCCTGCAAACCAGCGGTTCTTGGCGATGTCATAGAAGTACAGGTCATTGAAGAAGTCCCCCTCAATGCTTTCCTCCTCTTCTTCGTCACAAACGCCCCCAAAGAGCAGCGTCCGCCCATTGGGAGCCACGGCCACAGAGAAACCAGACCTGGGAGTGGGCTTTACTCCAGAGGGGCTGACTCGAGTCCACATCCACTTGTCTGTTAAGGGGAGAGCGGAGAAGCACAGGCATTATGGGAAGAGAGAAAAATGGGCCTTCTTCCGTCCAGTCACGGAAACCTGCCCCATGTCACTCAGCCTGCTGCCCCAGGCACAGCAGAATTCATATGAGGAGAAGGGAAAGCATGAGAGAGCTCCACTCTTTTGCTCCCTGCACTAATCTTCCCCAGGGGAGGCTGGCTAAGAAAATGGGCCAAGGTCAGCATGTTCTTGTACTGATTTATAAATTCTGAAACTTCAATACATTACCATAAAATATTAAAATATTCAAAAACCTCTTGAGGAGCTAAAAGGACCCCTCAGGCCTATAAATGGGACCAGAAGACAGCAATCATTGCCCCAATTTATTTTTTCATTAATTTTTTTTTTAGTGTAAGACAATGAGTCAACAAGAATTTATTAAATGCTTACTATGTACTAAACACTGGGGATACAAAGAAAAGCAAAAACAGTCCCTGCCTTCAAAGAGCTTACATTCTAATGGGGGAGAAAATGGGAACCTAACAGATATACCCAAGATACTTCCTGAGAAGACAACACGAATTACATCTAAATAAAAAAAAAAGAGCAATAATACTAATGGCCCCAGAGGTCTATAGACAGGAGGCACAGAGTGCCTTAGCATTAGCTAACCCATGTCATACATGCACACATACACGTATATACGTTTGTATACACTAATATATTACATATGTGTGTATATCTTTAAGATGTGCAAAGTGCTTTACATACGTTATATCATTTAATCCTCATAATAACCCTGTGGGGCAAGTGCTATTATTAATCTCCACTTTACAGATGCAGAAAATGAGACGGAGGCTAAGTGGCTTGCCCCAGGTCACGGAAGGCGCTGGACTCAGCGCTCTAACCATTAGGCCACAATAAACCGTGGATCTTAGCGTTAACTTAAAGTCCAGACCTCGTATGGATGAGGGATATCTGGCAGGGCAGGTCACCCACCCAATGTAATTGCTTTAAATATTTCAATGTCTTGCTGGTTTTAAAAAATGTTCTTCATGATTATTTACACTTGCTAGTTAAAATGCCCTGTAAATCCATGTGTTTCTTTTTCCCATCTTTCCCACAAAGCTTCAATTATGCAAGCAAACATGATTTACACCACTCCCTCAACCTGAACACTTCAAGATACATTTTTTAAGGAAGGGACAAGTCAGTCAGTCAGTCAGTCAACTGACATATATTAAGCACTTACTAAGTGCCAGGCACTGGGCTAAAGGTTGTGGGTACTGGGGAGACAAAAATAGACCAAAGAGCATCCCTGCCCTCAAGGAGCTCCCAGTTGGATAAACAGGACTAATTAACAGCAGGCAGACCTGGAATTAAGAGGGGTTGGGGGCAGCTTCCTGTAGAAGGTGGGATTTTAGCTGGGACATGAAAGAAGCCAGAGAGGTCAGGAGTCAGAGCGGTCCAGGCACCAGGCACAGCCAGAGGCCAGCGTCACCGCTTGGGGAATAAGGGGTAAGGAGTCTGGAAAGGGAGGAGAGGGTGAGGCGATGAAGGACTGTGCATGCCAAGTGCAGCACTGTGTATCTGATCTGGAGGAGACAGGGAGCCCCTGCAGGTTACTGAGTGGAGGGGCTGACGGCCATGAAAGCACAACAGTCTCAGCAGTAACCATGAAAAGCCAGACTTGGTTCATGGGGGGCAGGGAGGCCTCTCTAGCCACATCTGATAAGTGACAGGAGATCCATACATGGTGATGCTTATTTTTTTAAAATTTATTTTACTTCTAATTTATGGACTAAAACTAACATTTCCATAACATAGTATAATAAGAAAGATGACTGCACATGGAACTGCAAATCTACTATGTACGACTTGCTATTCCTTTTAAATATACAACAAAGTTATCATGTAAATTTCTTTTTTTTCCAAACCCAGCCCACTTCATACACCAGTGAAGCTTCTGTCAAGTTCTACACTAATGAGCTTTTTCAAAAGCAAGGATTTAAGGGCACCCAAGGACTCACTATTTAAAGGAACACCAGGAGAGATTATGTTCACAGAGTCAAAGACCCTTTTGCAACTGAAGCTCTCATAGCAGGAAACTGAGATTTAATTCATGGACTTGTTAGCATAACTGTCAATCAATCCACATGTGTCTATTAAGCCCCTCTCTGTGCCAAGAGCTGTGCATCTTCACCCGAAGCCCCCAACATCTCTCTTCTCCGGATGCCCACAGACGGCACGTCATTACCGCTTGCTGCACTGCGGCCCCTCTTGGCCCAGGCAAATTTTATTCTGGGCCCTTCAAAGAGCATGGCATTTACCACATGGAAACTTTTTTTTTAAAAACATATTCCAAGAATAACTAGGAAGCTATCCTTAACTTTAAGTTGATACACGTATGCTTTCATCACAAAATCACAGACTTGGAAACGACCACCAAACTCCCTTCACAGCATTTCAAACAAGTGGTCCCAGGGCCTTCCACTGAAGACCTCTCCCTGGGAAGCCCATTCCAATTTTGGACGGTCAAAGGGCTTGGCTTCTTTTCCTCACCGAGAGCCAAAATCAGCCTCTGCCACTTCCGTAGTCTTCTCCCAGCGCCATATTCTAGGGCCAAACAAGCAAATCATATCCCTCTTCCGTAGGAAAATGCTTCAATTTAATAGGGCATCCCATTTAATTGGAAGTTTGAACAGTGGAGCTGAACAAAAAAAAGGATGTTTCGTATTCTCATTTCTTCCATTCATCCAGTGAAAAAGGCAAATGTCACCGATTATACTGCATTGATATGAACATTTCTGGAGTACTGTCATTTTGGGAAACTTTATCCAGCCACCTTGTGTGTAACATGGCCCAGTGGTCCAAGTAAAATACAAACATTCAATGTAAAGAGGCTGAATTTCCTTACCCAGATTTTTAAAAGTCCGGCATACCCATATATCCAATCTGGTTATCTAGCACCCCAGAATGCTATGCCACAATCGCCTCCCTCTCTCCACAGGAAGGAACAGAAAAGAGAAAAACCAAAGAAGGATAATCATCCAGGTAATGAGCAATTCTTATACACGTTAATCAATGAGGAAGAATTCAAAATGTTATGTTTGAAAAAAAAAACTGTAACGGACTTGATATCTCAACATAGCAACATAGGAATGTCCTCACATAATGTATGAAAAATCAAAAAATGAAAACTCTCTGATGCTTGAAAATAAGCATACATAAATAAAAGTACAGCTTTCCGCTGATTCACATGCTAAACTGGTCCTGGAGTAAATTTCAGTAAGAATTACGGACACTAATAGAGCACTGTGCAGTTTACAAAGCACCTGACTCTACAAGGAAACAGCCCTCCAATATCAACCTCCGCCCAGGGGACCGAGGTGGCACAGTATATGGTCAAGCACCAGATTGGAGGTTCAAATCCAACCGTAGATATTTACTAGCTCTGTGACCCTGGGCAAGTCACCTAACCGCCTTGTCTCAGTTTCCTTATCTGTAATAGGTACTGATAACAGCACCTACCTCCCAGGAGTTGCTGTCAGGATCTAATGAGTTAACACTTGTACAAAAGCGCTCTATAAATGCTAAAGCTATTATTACTACTAGGAGGCATCGTATCTTATCAGACACTATCCTCGAGGCTTCATTTGCTGTTCTGGGAATTCTAAAAGTCATACAAGTTCTTTTTGTTTTTTATTTTATATTTTATTTTTTATTTTTAATACGTGTTTTTAAAACTTTGGGTTACAAATGTTCTCCCTTCCTCCCTCCCCACCCACCCTCATTGAAAACGCAAGTATCTCGATACAGGTTATAGATGTGTAGTCATGCAAAACACTTCCACATAGTCCTGTTGTGAAAAACGAAGTATATTTCCCTTCATCCAATCCTACCTCCCATTTATTCTATTCTCTCTTTTGACCCTGTCCCTCCTCAGAAGTGTTTGCTTTTGATTATCCCCTCCCCCAATCTGCCCTCCCCTCTATCAACCCCCTGCTCTTTTGTTCCCTTCCCCCCTTATTTTCCTGTAGGGTAAGAGAGATTTCCATACCCCATTGTGTATGTTATTCTCTCCTTAAGCCAAATGCTATGAGAATAAGATTCACTCAATCTCTCTCACCTTCCCCCATTTCCCCTCCACTGTAAAAGCCTTTTCTTGTCTGTTTCATGTGAGATATTTTACCTCATTCTACTTCTCCCTTTCTCCTTTTCCCAGTATAATCCTCTCTCACCCCTTAATTTTATTTTCCAGATTATCACCCCTTCATCTTCAACTCACCCTGTGCCCTCTATCTATCTATACATCCATATAATTTTTTCCCCTCCCACTACCCTAATACTGACAAAGGACTCATGAGTTACAAATATCATCCTTCCCTGCAGGAATGTAAATAGCTCAACCCAAATAAGTGTCTTATGATTTCTCTTTCCTGTTTACCTCTTTCATGTTTCACTTGAGTCTTGTATTTGAAGGTCAAATTTTCTATTCTGCTCTGGTCTTTTCTTCCACAGGCATGCTTGAAAGTCCCCTATTTCATTGAATGACCATTTTTTACCCTGAAGGATTATACTCAGCTTTGCTGGGTAGGTGATTCTAGGTTGTAGTCCTAACTCCTTTGCCCCCCAGAATATCATACTCCATGCTCTCCGGACCCTTAATGCAGAAGCTGCTGAATCTTGTGTTATCCTGATTGTGTTTCCCTAATACTTGAATTGTTTCGTTCTGGCTGCTTGCAATAACTTCTCCTTGACCTGGGAATTCTGGAATTTGGCTACAACATTCCTAGGAGTTTTCCTTTGGGGATCTCTTTCAGGAGGTGATCGGTGGATTCTTTCAATTTCTATTTTGCCCTCTGGTTCTAAAATATCAGGGCAGTTTTCCTTGATAATTTCTTGAAAGATGATGTCGACCTTTTTTGATCATGGCTTTCAGATAGTCCAATAATTTTTAAGTTCTCTGTCCTGGATCTATTTTCCAGGTCAGTTGTTTTTCCAATGAGATATTTCACACTCTCTTCTGTTTTTTCATTCCTTATGATTAGCGTTACAGTGCCTTGATTTCTCAAATTGTCCCTATCTTCCAATTTCTCCATTCTAATTTTTAAGGAAATATTTTCTTCAGTAAGCTTTTGGACTTCCTTTTCCATTTGGCCAATTTTGCTTTTAAGGGCAATCTTCTCCTCACTGGCTTTTTGGACCTCTTTTGCCATTTGGGTTAGGCTATTTTTTAAGGTGTTATTTTCTTCAGTATTTTTTTGGGTCTCCTTTAGCATCACTTTCAGTTTTTCCTCTACTTCTCTTACTTGCTTCTCAAAATCCTTTTTGAGCTCTTCCATGGCCTGGGACCCAATCATATTTTTCTTGGAGGCTTTGGATGTAGGAGCTTTGGCTTCGTTGTCTTCTTCTGGTTGTATGTTTTGATCTTCTTTGTCATCAAAGTAAGATAATATAGTCTGACTCTTTTTGCGCTGCTTGCTCATGACCCCAGCCAATTACTTGAGTCATAAATTCTTTGTTAAGGTAGGAGTCTGTTTCCAGTGTGGAGAATGTACTGTCCCAAGCTTCAGGGGTTTTGTGCAGCTGTTTTCAGAGATGTTTCTAGGGACCTGTAAATTTTCAGTTCTTCCAAGGTGCTATGAACAAGGGGGGGGTGGTGTTTACTCCCGTCCTGGCCTGTGCTCTGGTCTATGAGCACTCTTTTCTGTCTTGGAACTGTGAGGAGGGTTTCCTCTCCACAGCCACTACGAGCTCCACCACACCAGCGCTCCTCCTCGCCCCAGGACTACCACCCAGAACTGTGACCCAGATCCAAGCACGGGCAAAGCAAGAGAATCCTGCACCAGCAGAGAGATCCCTGCAATCCCTCTCTGATGAGCCACTTGATTCCCCCTCAGTCTGTGGGCCAGAAGCTCAGGAGGCAGCCGCTGCCCCCGCTGAGCTCGGGGACTAGAGCTGAGACCACCGGCTTCTCTCTCTCACCACAGACACAGACTTTTCCCTTCTAAGATGTCTTTGGAAACCGCCACAGCTGCCTGCGATTCAGTCCTCTGAGACCTGCTCCAGGTTCTCTGCAGCCTTCGCGCCCACATCGAACTGCGCTCCTTTCCCCGTTTGGTGCGATATACCTTTCAGATCAACCATCCAGGCTGTCTTGGGCTGGAATTTTGTCTCGCTCCGTCTTTTTGTGGGTTCTGCTGCTTTAGAATTTGTTTGGAGCCAATTTTTACAGGTATTTGCAGGGGTTTGGGGAATACCTCAAGCAAGTCACTGCTTTTATTCTACCATCTTGGCTCCTCCCCCAAAAGTCATACAAGCTCTGACACTTGACTGTTAGTTGAGTGATATCCTCTTTTTTAGAATTAGGACGAAGCATAAAAATTGCATAGTACCAAATACTTCAAGGAAGGGGGAAGAAAAAAATTCTTGCTCACTCAAATACTAAATGTATAGATTGTTTACGAAGCCACCAAGCAGAAAACAATTACCTCTGCCAGGATTAACTAGTGAGCAAATCTTTCCTAACTATGGGCCCATTATCTTCAAGGTCCTGACAACATCCTCTCTAACGTTTACTACTTCTGAAACGCCACTTTTGAGTAACCAATTGTAAAAATTATTCATACCTTTTAAAAGGAAGGAGAAAAGCACCACAGAGCTTTTCCAGCAGCAGCCCCCAGGATGGCCATTACTATGTGGGTCTCTCTGAAATGCATTTAATTCGGCAAATTTGGTGTGTGTGTGCACATACATGTGTGCATATGAAGGGGGGCACAAAAAGGAGCCCGAGCTGACCCTCAGACCTACTGATGTTAGAAGGGGACAAGCAGGGCCAACAAATCACTGCAAAGCAAGTAGACGCCTACCTACCTTTCTGAGATTTTCCCCAATTGTGACCCTTTACCAAGCCTCTTTTCTAGACAAACTGGAACATCAGCTATTCCCTGAATTCCACCGTCCGCTGCCCCCGACTCTGTGAATCTGAACAAGCTCTGCTGGCATGGACACCCTCCCCCCTCTTCTATCTCCACCCTCCTGTAGCAGGAAGCATTCCCTGATGCCCAGGCGTGAGCGCTCTTCCATGTGTGGACAGGTCCCATCCATTCTATAGAAAGCAAGCTGCCTGAGGGAAGGAGCTGCTGTCTTGTGGTCCTTCTATCTCAGCACCTGGCAGTGTCAATGGATGCTTGTCGGACTAACTCGAATCCAAGTCCAGACAAGAAGCCCATACATGTTAACGCTCTATCCTCCAAAATACACCTTGCATGTTAATAATAATGCAACAGACACACCCCTATGGAGCCCTTTACCTACACTATGACATTTGAGCCTCAAATCAACCCTGTGGGGCAAGCACTACAAACCCACCTGGCAGAAGAAGAAACTCATTCTTGGTGAGCCTACGTGACTTGCCCATGACCACATGACTAGAAAAGGTTGGAGGTGGGATTTGAACTTAGGCCTTTCCTGCCTTCAAATCCACCACTCTATACACCACACTTCACTGCCTTTAATAGTTTAGAGAGAGGATCCTACGCTGAAGGTAGGAGGCCTGGTGAGTGCCTACAATGCCCATCACGTGGGTGCCTGGCTACACACAGACAACAGACAGCCTTGGTCCTACCGGGGAAATCCTGGGAGAGAAGGAGGCCGTCAGTGAGAAAGTGCCCACTGCCACATCTGGGGCCACTCCACCAGGCCGTGTCCTCAGGGGGCATGGACAGCTTTCCTCATCACGGGGTGAAGTTCCTCCAAGGCACATTTAGAACAAAGGGAGGAGAGGAAGATTCATCTGTTCATCACAGCTTTCTATACCACTCAAATGTGTGAAACATCACAGAAGTGCCTGAACCTGATCTTGGAGAAGGAAGAAAAAGGTAAATTATGGTTCATTTTGTTGTGGTTGTTAACATTAAAACAGATCCAAAATAAGGGTTGTTTCCAGGGGATGCTGAGACCACGGAGATCATCTAAGGATCCAACCCTTTCACTTTACAGATGAAAAAACGGAGGCCCAGAGAGGTTCAATGACTGACCCAAGATCACAGAGCTAGTCAGTCAGTGATGGTGCTAGAACTGGAAATCAGGTCCAGACGCTCAGAGTGTGGGTCTAAATTCTGGCTGGGGAAGGTCTCTGGGGCTCCATTTCCTCCCTGATTTAAAAAGAGGGCCCCTTGATCCTGAGATTCCTGTGGCCCCCTGATGTCCATGATCACACGGGGATGCAGTGGGGTCAGAGGGCTAGTCCCAAACCCATGAAGAAAAATCCAGAAAAAGGTTCTAGACTCAAGCATCAATGCTAGAAAAAATGCACAATTGTACAAACTGACCAACAATGAAATGAGCAGAACCAGGAAAACAATTTACACAGTTACGAGGACACTGTTAAAAACAAACGATTCTGAAAGCGCTAAGGATTCTGATCGACGTGATTGTCACCCACAATGCAGTATGCTGTCCTCCTCCTCCTCCTCCCAGAAGCGATGGAGTCACATAGGACGGACGACAAAAGAAAGGTGTCCGCACGCGCCAAGGAGAGCGTTTAGGCCAGGCCGTGTGCATTGATGAACTGGAATATTAAAGGGTCCCTCGCTGAGCTCTGATCCTCCACATGCTGCCTTGTCCTGGGCTTCCTACTCAGCCCACTCTCGAGCCACCTCTGATAATCCCCCATCATTATCTTGTTTCTCTAATGAAAAAAGCTTTCATGGATCAGGGGTGAAAGGAGGCCTGGCTTTTAACAACTGCCTCGAGCCAGGGCTGGTCTGAGCAGGCCCCAGGAGCCCCCCAGCTACTGTACCTTCTTCCTTGCCTTCCTCGCATTTCAGCAGGAACATGTCCGAATGCAGAGTGCCCCTGTCAACATCCTTCTTCACTCTCTGCAAAAGGAAAAGGGAGATTCAGGTAATTGGCACCGGCATCTATACCCAAACATCCCAGTTAGTGCATCCTCATAAGATATGGAGTTCTTACAGTTTTTTTTGTGCATTGCAGACCCCTTGGGCAGTTGGGTAGAGACAATGAACCCCTTCTCAAAATCATGGTGTTTATTTTTATTTAAATTCATAATTAAGGAAATGCTAAATTTATGTTAGAGGTTAGTGAAAATAAGTGTCATTTTTTTTCCCTATCCAAGGGTTCATGCCTCTTCTGAAATCTCTCCGTAGCCCCTTGGTTAAAAAACTTAGACTGAAAGGGAGATTTAGAGCTGGAAGGGACCTTAGTGCAGTCCCCCTGCTTTGCAGAAAGGGAAACTGAGTCCCAGAAAAGTTAAGTGACTTGTATTAAGTTCTTTTAGGCCTTAAGTGGCAGAGCTGGAATTTGAACCAGTGCCTTCAGACTCCAAATCCAGCCCTCCTCCTGCTGTGAACGCTGCGGCCCTTATTTAACTATGTGATTTCCCTGAGCTGTCAGGTTCCCAATACCAAGGAGAAGCTCCCCGAAATGTTTTGGTCTTCTGCTCTGGAGCTCCTCGTAAGGAGAGCCTGGTTTTCCTGTTCTTTTCCTTCCATGCCAGATGAGTAGATGAAAAAGGATTCAATTTAGTAAGTGATCATCACTTCTGTATCCTTGACTTTGAACTCATTATCTCAAAATTAAGTATATGACTGACAATTCATTCTCTAATTAAGAATGGAGACGGGGAAAAAAGTGAAGAGGAAAAAACCCGACAGCTCTGATTACCATATGTTCAAGCTTAAAATATCCTCCTCCTGCCCTCCTTCTCCCTGGAGCTCCGCACAATGGCTTTCACCCGACTTGCTCTATTATAAGGTGGCACCATTCAATACCACCACGGGTGACTTTTTTTCTTTTTCTGTTTTAACTCCCATTGATATTATATGCACTCAAATATATGAGAACCAAAGAAAGACAGGAAAAGCAAAAGCAAAACAGGAAATAAACACCCAAATAAAGCCAATCACAGAGTAAAATCAAAACCAAAATCAAAAACTGCAAACAATGAAGCAAAGTAACAAAAAATCACTGTGAACCAACACCTTCAGTTATCTACTGGTAGATAAAGGGCATGTGGATCTTACAACTCAAGTTCCACCCCTCCCCACCAGGTCTAGTTCTTGCTTATTTGTAACTGCCACCATCTTATAAAGAAGGGGTTCTTAACCTTGGGTCTGTGAACTTTCTTTTTTTTAACACTTTGATAACCATATTTCAATATACTTTGCTTCCTTTGTAATCCTATGTATTTTATTTTATGTCTCCGGGGTCTATGAGCTTCACTAGATGCCCCATGCATCCACAACACAAAAAAAAAAGTTAAAAACATTCATTATAAATGGAGATTCAGCCTAGTGGGCAAAATATCAAACTAATACTTCATCAAACAACTGGCCGCCCAAATGAAATTAATTAAATTATTTTTAAAAATAATCTCACTTTCCAATGACTGAATTACTCTAGAACTTTAGGTAATAACTAAGCCCAAATGTATCTTAAGTCTTCTTATCTCCATCTCTAACTAGTGTTACCATCCTAGCCAGGTTTGGCACCATTACTCACCCCAGCGTAGACAGGCTTTCACCTCATATCTTTGCAAACATCACAAATCATCACTATAATAGTGGTAGTGGTGATGATGATGATGATGATGATGATGATGACAGAGGCAGCTATGGGGTACACCACTGGTCCTGGAGTCAGGAAGACCTGGGTTCAAATCCAGCCTCAAACACTTACTAGCTGTGTAACTCTGGGCAAGTTACTTAGCCTCTGTCTGCCTCAGTTTTCCCATCTGTAAATGAAGATAATAATAGCACCTACCTCCCAGTGTTGTCGTGGAAAAACAAAGGAGATGACATTTGTAAAATGTTGGTACACATAGGCACTTAATAAATACTTATTCCCAGGGGCAGCTAGGTGGCACAGTGGATAGAGCACCAGCCCTGAAGTCAGGAGGACCTGAGTTCAAATCTGGCCTCAGACCAAACACTTGACACTTACTAGCTGTGTGACCCTGGGCAAGTCACTTAACCCCAATTGCCTAAAAACAAAACAAATAAATACTTATTCTCTTCCTTTCCCTCTCCCTAGCAACTTTCAGTATGTTTTAGGGATTCTTCACTTTCATTTGTACCAATGTCAGACAGGTTACAAATGCTCAACATTAGAAGGAACTTAACAGCGCATCAGCAGTGTAATTTTTAGAAATGCCTCCTTTTCAATAATGATGATAGCTAGAATTTATATAGTACTACCTGGCTCCCAGTGCACTTTACATATGTTAAATTAGCAAAGATGACAAAAGATAGGAAGAGTCTATTTGGAGGGCTTGTGAGAAGTCAGGCATAACAATGCATTGTTGGTGGACCTTCTGATCAGTCCAACCATTCTGAAAAGCAATTTGGAATCATGCAAATAAAGTCACTAAACCATCCATACTCTTTGACCCAGATATTCCATTCCTAGGCTTATATCCCAAGGAGGCCATCACCACATACACCAAAATATTTAAGGCAGCACTTTTTGTGACAGCAAAGAACTGGAAACAAAGTAGATGCCCGTCAATAAGTGAATAGATAACACCGTGATAGGTGAAAGTCACGGGATAATCCTGTGCTATAAGAAACGACTACTATGATGAATAGGGAGAAGCACTGAAATTCTTCCATGACCTGATGCAAAGTGAAGTCAGTGACGATGACCTCAGTGATGTCAATGTAAAGAACAGTAACAGTAAAACAATCGAACTGACTGAATGTTGCCAAATTTAAAAGAATAATGGTCCCACAGAAGGGATATGGATAGATCAGGGTGGACAACCTGCGGCCTCGAGGCCACATGTGGCCTTCTAGGTCCTTGGCTGCGGCCTTTTGACTGAGTCCAAGTTTTACAGAGTAAATCCTTTTATGAAGGGGATGTGTTCCATGAAGTCTGGATTCAGTCAAAGGACCTCACTTGAGGACCTAGAGGGCCACATGTAGCCTCAAGGCTGCGGGTTCCACACCCCTGAGATAGATACTTCCCCCTCCTCCTTTGTAGGTGTGGGTATGTAGGACTGAGCAGAGGGAAGAACTGTCCATGAGTGTACAACACTGTATATAGTGTCAATTTTTTCAGTTTTTGATTGGTTTTTCTAAGTCCCCTCCACCTTCACTTCTTTTTTACATTTTTTAAATAAAATTCTTTGTTACAAGGTATAGTTATCTGGGAGGAGGAAGGGAAGGGCACAGGGAGAAATTTGGGCAATGTAAAAACTAAAGATACCAATAAAAATCTTTAAAAAAAGTTCCCTCCTTTTAAACCAGAACATTAAATTACACCCCTTGTTTCCTAGAAGTTGTCAACTAGATAGGAATAAAGTTTGGTTAGCCTAGTGCTCTGCTTCAGTTTGAAAGACCAAAGAGTGGCATTAGAAGAGTATCTGAAGGAATGACTAAGAAGACACAAAAACCAAGTAGCTCCTAATTCCCTCACAGCTGTCAGAGCATTATTTACAAGTACTAGAAATTCTGAAATTGGCCATACCCACAGTCAGATATAAGAAAAACACATTTCAAAGGCAAAGTTGTTTTCTGTTTTTGTTTTAATTATCTACCATTTTAGATGGTCTGGGCCATTAGTGCAGTGGACAGTGTCACTTAAATTTACTTCTCCCAGAGTGGATCAGATCCTGGCTTGGTGAAAAAAAATCACACGGCCAGAATCTGCCTGACTTTTCCAAACGGTGACTTTCTAGCTCCCAAGAACAATGAGCCTGGGCTAAGATGCCTTGAAGGATGAGGACCTTGAGAGGTGGAGATAAAAACAAGTACCACCTTTCCAGGCCATGGACTGTCAAGTTCCAGGTGCAGTAAACATGGCAGGGGGACTAGAACTGAGAGGGCACCCACGGAATCCACGTGAGAGCAGGCCAGAAAGGGAGGCCAGAGCCAGATGGTGGAAAGTCTTTGGCAAAGGAGGTTGCAATTTATTCCACTGAAGGCTTCTTTAAAAATTAAATATTTTCCCCCAATTAACAAGCAGTTGTTTTCTCCCCTTCCCTTCTTCCCTGACTGGGAAGAAAAAGAAAAACAAAATCCTTGTAACAAATTGGGCCATCCAGCTAAATGAATCCTTGCCCATTCTGTACCTCTCTGGTGGGAGATGGGCAGCATATACCATCACTAGTCCTCTGTCTGGAACTTAGGTAGAGCTTGGCCGTCAAAGCTTACTGTCTAATGCTGCTGTTACTCTTCAGAAGACTTAAGAACTCTGAAAAACCCGATGATTTACTCTGATTCCAGAGGACCAAGGATGAGAGGCAAAGGACTCATGGGCCAATGCAGAAACAAGGCGGGGTTTGTTTGGGTTTTTTGCCTGACTATAAATATGTGTGTGTGTGTGTCTACGTGTATGTGTCTGTGTTTTCAATTGAGAAGGGGCAGAAGTTGGGGAGAGAGAACAGATTTTTGTTAATTGAAAAAAAAATTAAAACAATGCTGTTGTTATTGCATAAATTATTCTCTAAGTTGTGCTCATTGCACTCAGCCTAAGTTCATACAATAGTAATATAGTAGCTAGCACTTACAAGGTGTTTTAAGGTTTCCAAAGCGCTTTACAATTATCTCATTTTAGCCTCTCAAGAACTCCAGAAGGTAGGTGCTGTTATTATCTCCACTTTAAAGACGAAGAAACTAGGGCAAAGTGACTTGCCCAGGGTCGCAGAGCTAGTAAGTGCTTGAGGCTGGATTTGAACTCAGGTCTTCTGGACTCCAGGTCTAGTACTCTATGCACTGCACCACCTAACTGATGGGTATAACATGGAACCTGAGATTTAATTTGCATTTTCTAATTATTATTTGGAACATTTTTTTTCATATTACCGTTAATAGTTTGGACTCACTGTAGTTAAAGGAGAAGAATGTCAGGGTCAGATCAG